TTATAGGGTTGCAACCCTATCAAAAACATTTTCCTAATTTAAATATTAAGAAATCAATTTTGAACTTTAAATCTTAAAAAATAAATTTTTAATTTAAAATTATTTTTTTTAAAAAAATTGGAATATACCCATGCAGGTGAGCATCTGGTCCCTAGAATTTGATGAGGTACTCATGCTGCTATCCACCATCCAAACCTATGAGTGGAGGGCATAGATGAGCCTAACTTCTTCCAAAGATGCCTTTCTCATCTCCACCGTCTGTTTGCACTTGGTGCAAGGCCTGTCCGTACTCTATCTCTCCCGTTGACGAAATTAGTTTATAAATCTTAGACTCTCTCTCTCTCTCTAGAATTCTTAGCCAATCTCTCTCTCTCTCTTCCCTTTGCCGAAATTAGTAATAACGCTTTTCACTATCTAACATTTTTAAGCATTTGGGAGCTAAATTCCCCTCTCTTCGCCCATCTTCACCCCCGCTCTATCTATATATATTTATATTCTCTTTATTTGAAGATCTACTTGGAACTTTTTTTTTAAACCTGAAACTTTGGTAACTACTCACGAATTACTAAATTGTTTTTTTTAAGAAAAAAAAAATTGAATTTACTAAATGACTGCTGTCCAAAAAAAAAAAAAAAAATTTGAGTTTTCTAACACGTAGATCTCACCATCTAAAGTTTGAATGGCCTCTATTTAATTTCATGCAAATATTTGATGTCAAGTGCATCGAGAGTACAATTAGGATTTTGTTTTTTTATTGACGTTAATATGTTTCATTCCCAAACTTTGGAATCCTAAAATCAATTCTAGAGGAAATTTAATCCAAGAGAGTAGATGAATAATCGACTCCCGGGGGACTAGAATATCTTTTAGCTATATATTGGATTCTCTCTCTCAAATTCGACCATAAATAAAAAAAGGGAAAAATTTATATAGAGCGGAGGCTCTAAACAATCAAATTCGAGCCTACCTCCAAAATTTCACTAAAAGAGGGTGTTTTGATGCTCAAATATCCTCAAATTCATCATCTCAACATCCATATGTATGGAAATGAGAAAAAAATGGATTTCAAGTTGTAGAAATAGTATATTATGTAACACACTTTTTGACCGTCAATTTTCAAGATTTTAAATTTTTCATAGATCTCTCGACCTACACTATTTTTGAAGCTTTAAACTTTCTAAATAAAGATGAAAATAGATTTTAATACTATAAACAAGATTTCCAGTATTGAAACTACATTTCTCGATACTATTTGAAGGTAGGTTCTAATTTGATTGTTTAGAGCATAGGCTTTATAAAAACTTCACCCATAAAAAAAAAGAAGGAAAGTATATGATGGGACCATTTAGAACAAAGCGGAGGCAATAATCTTGATCATTGGATGTGAAATTAGATTTTATTGACCAACTTCAAAGTTAGAATTTTTTTTGAACTTTGTAACACACCCTAACCACCAGATTTCACATCGGATGGTGTGTAAGTAATTGTGACATCCCTAATCCAAAGATAAATGATCTCATTACATATAATCCCATAACAAAAACCCTCTCTCGCTCTCTCTCTCTCTCAACCGCCCAATCTAAATGGAAAACTCTTTTCCCCCTCTTATCTCACTCTAAAAAGGTTGCCCCTCTCTCTCTCAACTTAGGTGTAGCTCAACTTAAAAACATGGAAAAGTATGAAAAAATACCATTTTCTTTTAGCACAAGAGGTCTCGATTACTTTTGTCCTTTATATTTCAAATCGGATGATTGACTAGAATTAAATATCCTTCATCCAATTTGACATTTGTTGGCTCGTAGTAATTGTTATCATAGTTAGTAAGTTAAAAGTTTAAAACACAGTTTTTTCAAAAAATCTCTAATTAGAATTATGAGTTTTTCAAATGATCTTCAAAAAATCACATTTTTTAATGGAACCCATATAAATCTGTATTTTATCTTTTTCCAAAAAACTTCCTATCTATAACTTTATTTCTTCATGAACTTAACATTGGCTGTAATTTAAGAATATTAATTTAACAAAAAGTTCTATCAAAAATTTCACCAATAAGTTCCCTTACAAAAAAGACTGCGGAAAGAATACGCAATATAATTCCCAAAATATAAAATATCAAAACAATTGTATACCTTAATATAATAGGTAGAGTAAGAAGAAGAGTAACTCAGTCAATAATCTTTTTTTCTTTAAACCCAAAGTATCCTTATAAAGAGTAAGAGAGAGATTAAATAATATTAAAAAAGGCATTAGGAATTCAGTGTGAGATGTGAATTTGCTTAAGCACTTTGTTGCTTTCTTTATGTGCAAATAAGTTATATTGATTGGTCAATACAACATAGCATTTTCGATGGATTAGTATTTTATATATTAGGGTCTTGGTATTGTTTTAGTTAACTACAATCCAATGTTAAGGTTCTATTTTATTTTTTTTCTTTGAACAATAATCCTTACCTTATTTACAGTTATTGTTACTTACTAACATAGTTCTTGTGTTTGGTAATATGGTTACTGTTTCATCTTATGCTCCAATAAGTCTACAATATGTTTTATGTTCCCACAACATAGTCATTATTATTGTTGAATTTAATGAAAGTTTAGACAATAAATTGTTAATAATTACTCTAATGATACTAGATAAAATCATAAAAAATATTGTTCCATGGCTTTAATGTATATATTTAGTAATTGAAAATCATAATCCTCATCTTTAAATATATGATTTTTTGTCATTTTGTTTTCTTGAGCCATATTCGAAATATTCACGTTTCTATAATTTACCTTGTTTTTTTGGTGATTTGTATTTTCGACCCAATTTTTTTACCGGATTTTTTAAAATAAAATTGATCTATTATCGATGTTTTGGTTCACCTATATATTATTATTCCCTCATTTGTTAACTATGATTGTGAACTCTTAATAAATGATCTTATAGTAATCAACCAAAAGACAACCTGCAGTTTCATTCCTAGGCCTAAAAGACAAAATCTCAAAAGTTCCCCCCTATATTTTAATTGCCAAAAGATATGCTACTCCCGCATGAGTAAAAAGGCCATTTAATCTGTTCGATAAAATATCATATAGAATTAATTTTAGGACTCTAAAATATGAAGACGTAACATTTACATAGATTAACTTCAATTAAAAAAATTCCAAATTGTGCGATCTAAACATTTTAAAAAGGGTGAGATTTGTATAAGGTGCCCACCTTATACTATACAAATGAGGCATGTCTCTAATTTTTGCTGAAAGATATAATTTTGGTGTTAGACACGATGATTTGAAAATCCATATTCAACCTTAGTTATAAAATTTAAAAGTAATGTGCATCGAGCACATCTATAAATATTTGAAAATATTAAAAATAGACAATTCAGATAATTTGTTACGAGATGCATCACTTTTAGAATTTGAAATTCTTTTTTTTCTTTATATCCATACATTTCAAAGTCGAGATGATTAATTGGAATGTTTTGCAATTTCAAAATACCCTTTTCTACTAGATTTTTGAGGTGCACAATATAATGTTACAACTTTATATAAAATTTTTTATTTAAAAAAAAATGTCTCGAGATTGATTAGAGGACATTCAATTTTTATAAGGTGAGATCCAAGTGTTATAAAACTCAAATTTCGAACTTTTTGGATACTAATCATACAATAATTCTATAAGTGGTTCTCAAAAGTTCAAATTGAAAAAAATCTCCCAAGTAGGTCTCGATCAATTCAAATTGAAAAAAGTCTCCCATGCAAGTCTTCGATCGAGGGAATAGAAGTAAATATACTCTTGAGAGAGTATAATATTTGTGCTCATTTTAATTTGGGATTGTATATTATAAAACATTTACCATGGTTATAAAGAAGGCACAGTAGCTATTATATGTCAAATTGAATCTAGAATTTATTTTTATTTTTATTTTGAAATTTTGAATCTAATCGATGACACTTTTACAATCACCTGATTTAAAAATATGAGAAACAATTGTAATTGTGATATCCTTATATGACAATAAGGAAATTTTTCTATTCTTCCCCTACTGCATAAAAGATATATGCTTTCCCCATCCAACCGTCCAATTTAGATAAAGTGAGCTATTGACCGTTTGATTTAAATCCGACACCTCAAAGTATTTTATTTTTAATTTTTTGTCTAAAAATTATATGAATATGAAATTTGGTACATTCCATCATCTCAATAGGTTCAACTTAAAAAAATATTAAAAAGAATTTATAAAATATAATGATCAAAATACTTATTGAAACTTTTAAGAGTTTTTTTGAACATTTTATTTTATTGAAAATATTATTTTTATAAGTAAAAATATTAAAAATAAAATAATACAAAAATATGATATTATAATTATGGCCATCTCAATTGTCCATTCAGAATTAACTGTTAGATAGGGAGAACCATATAAATTTTATGTAGGGAAGCATAGAAAGCTTGCTCTAAAATACTTTTAATTTATCTAAAATAAGACCCAAAAATTCATGCTCCATTATCACCCTTTGAATTTCAACAGGACTGCATATTAATGATTTCGTACAATTTCAGTTCAATTTTTATTCGTTAGAGAAATTAGGTCTAGGGCATTTCGGATATTCATTTGATTAGGGGTATTTCAGATATTTGTGGAAAGGTCGTATCCTTGTCATTTCAAGAAATGATTGGCCTCTTTCTCGTCTTTTTTGTACGACCCAATGTATGGTCCAGATACCACATGAGGTTAAAATGATTTGATCGTAGCCGTCCATAGAAAGAAATTAAAAAAAAAAGTGTGGCGGGTCCCACCAGTCAGGCTCCCGTTGTAGGGTTGGACTGTGCCCCAAGTTACTTAAGAGAGGGGCGGAATAGTAATTACACGAATTTTGTGGGGCTTCTTGGACATTTCTGGGAAAGGAGGGGTATCCATGTGATTCATTGATGAGTGTAAGGGTGGTTTAGTCATTTCTTTGTATAAAGAACCAGTAATCCCATCTCCTCTGTAACTCCTTCACAGAATCGCCTCTCAAAGAAACCTTTCTTTCTCTCTCTTCACATTGCCCTCTCCCTCTATATATCTCTTTCTATCTCTTTTTTATCTCTGTCCCCTCTCTCTCTTCGTTTTCTCTCTCCTCTCTCTCGCTGTCTATTATGTTGCAGAGACATTGGTTTTCTCCATAGGCTCTCATGCCCGAGAATCATGCGATTTCCAAAAGTTTTGCAGGTTTCCAAAGAGTTTTTCCGGCGTCTATGAACCTCTGGTTTTTGAGATGAGGTTTGTAACATCACCTTCTTTCTGTATTTCTGTTTAATTTATGGATTTTCTGACCTTTGTTTGTGTTCTGTCTCTCATGGTTAAGCATCGACATCTCGTTGTTTCAAGAACGGTTTCAGGGGCTCTGGATATGGATTATGAGGAAATACTTGTATTATAAGCTGATGATTAATGTTATTCATATGTTTCCTCGTAGAGGAGAAGGCCTTAAGTCCTGTATTTGATGTTCCTTGCCATTAATTCCTCAAAGAAGTGTTTTCTCAGAAAGGGGAGATTCTTGTGGCTCTGAGAATGGACGACCACTTATGTTATTTTCTCTGTTCGTTTCCTCTTTCCTGTACAGTATTAGGAGGAGGATTGCATCTCTGGCTTAATAATAATGTAGAATACCAGTATTTTGGTTTCTTTCACATTTTTTTCCTCTTATATTCTTCTCTTTTGATCCTGTGAAAGAGCACCGAGGCTCTCATAATGGATAATCTTTATGTTTGGGTATCTATGGAATCGATTTTCTCTTTCCTTTCCTTTCCTTTTCGTTTTCCCCTTTTCTCAGTGGAGAGAGTGCCTTGGACTCTGACAATGGAGATCTTTGTGTCATTGGCTCTTGAAGATTACTCTCTTCTTTTCTTGTTCGCCATTCCTCTCTTTGGTTTTTGTAGATCTTTATATTATCTCTTTGAAGGTTTTATCTTGCGATTTCTTCCTCTTTGCTTCTGACACAGAGGGCTTTGTCGCTTAGGATTTGACGCCAATTTCTCAATTATATACACATCTTTGCCTAAGGATGGTATGCCTCTGATATTTTGGGTTCCCTGTATAGATTTATCTCAATAACAACAGTTTTACCTAATATTCCTCTCTATTTTTCAAATTTATTGTCAAATTTCTCTTCCTCTCATTCTAGTCTCTTCGAGGAGACGATCTTTAACTGTGACTGCAATAAGGATGGCCTATTCTTTGGTCTTGTAACAAGAGAGAGTGAAATAGGTAGTTTTGGTAATGAAAATTGTTATGGTTTATTACTCTTAATAATCACTGTGACTATAGTGTCCTGGGAGAAAATTGTTTTTCTGTTAAGATGTAAGTTTTGCAGGAGAGTGAAAAGCATTCATGTTCTTGAGTTTATCTCTGTTAAATGGGATTGAAATTGATGATCTTTATCTTTTGTACCTTTTTTGGCCCGAGCAGAGTAACGTCCATGACTGTGACTTTTGAGATAAAGGAAGGTTCGAGCTTGAGAGAGAACACGAGTCTTGCTTTTTTCTTCCTAAGAAATCGGCGATTATTGTGTCCTTGGTTTAGGATTCGCGTTCTTTGCTGATAGAATCGGTGATATTTTGTGGCTTGAGGTTGAGCTCGTGTTCTTTGCAGATAGAATCGGCAGCAAATCGGCGACTAGGGGTGTTATTGTGGTAGAATGCCGATGCGTGATGGAGAAGGCAAAGGAGCATGGTCGAATAATATTCGACTCGTCATAAGATCGCCGATTTTATGCCATAGAAAGAAATCTGACTCGGGCCAAGGTGGAGTGAGGCCTCAATCTTTATTTGGTGGAGTAGAACAATTTTGTTATTTCCAGTTTTTGTCTTTTTCCTAAATACTGTGATTTGTGGTTTTATTTTTCTCGATTTGAGATCTACCTGGTTTTTTCGGGGTACATGAGAACGATAATTCATTTATGCCTTTTTTCCTAAAAATCTTCCCTCTTTTTGTGTTTTTTGTGATAAATATTTTTACCTCAAAATAGCTGATTTTAATTCGAGGCTGAGGACGTATTTCCCGAGCCTCATTAATTTTTCTTTTTTCTTTTTTTATTTTTATTTTTAGCGTTTAATTTACCTAGCCATTCTCTTACCTCTTAGCCATGCGACGGCTCAGGATTTGTGGTTTTCAGGGGAAAGGAGATTCAAATCGCGGTTTATCTTAGGGAATTGATTCAAAAATCACTTTTTTCCATGGTTTTTGGGGAAGAGAGCTTACTTTGACCTTTTTAGCTGCGGAAAAAAAAGTTGCCAGATTAACGTTGTGCATTTAGAAGTAATTTCTGCCATTTTTGGTATGTTAAAAATTGGGATTAATTTATGGATTTCGGATGATCATCTGTCATGCCTATAATTGGCTGGTTTTGCTCAAAATCTATGAGAATAGTTTTCCCCTTTCGGTATTTTCTCATTGCCTGAGTGTATCTGCTACTTGGAGAAAATCTCTGTTCGGTCTTATGGAGAAGGAAATAACTCGCACTCTCTTTTCTTGGGGTGCGATTTCTCTTTGAGGTAGGGTTTTTTTTTTTTCGTTTTTCTTAACTTTTGCAACCTCTCTCTCTAGAGATATCAAAATATATAGGTAATTTGGGATGGAGTAGTTACTAGGCAGCATCAAGGCTAAAAATATCAGATTTAAGTCTCTTTTTGACTGTTACTTTGACCCCAACAAAAGCTTCTTTTCCTGCTTTTCTATAAGATATGGGGATTATGTTTTTTTTTTATAATGATATGGGGATTGTGGGTATGAATATGTTTGGTGTTTTTATGTTTCCTTATTTGATTATTTATGTATTTATGCTGTTCTCATCATTTCCCAATTTAATACATCTCAATTTATTTAATTTTTTTTGGAATTTGTTATGATTAATGATCTATTATGTACTGAAAGTTAATGGACAAAGTAGCGTATCTATGGCTGTTAAAATTTTCCACTATTTTTATCATTTTCTATTTTTTATGTACTGGGGAAACCTTTGCATTTTCAGGAATCAGTATTTGCCGGAGTAGGTTTCACAAATCATATACTATTGATTGTACTTATTACTTTCAATTTTTTCTTGTCACTTGTGAAAAGCTGTTTTACTAAAATGTAGTTGAGGCATTTGATTGAGGCCAATTTGTGACAGTTTTGTGGTTGGTTTTAGATGCAGATTTGGTTAGGCATTTCTTCTGATCTGTCTTTATACACCATGGCTTTTCACTTCCTGTAATTGTTTACAGAGTTTATTTCTAATGCTACTTGAGCAAATTTTCATTCCCTTTTGAGAGGATGCCTTTTTCCTTTCACCGTGAAGAATTTCCCATTTGTTTTCTAACCTTTGGTGGGGGAAGATTGTGAATTGAGGTGCTTTTTACTTAACAGTAATTGTTTACGGAGTTTATTTCTAATGCTACTTGAGCAAATTTTCATTGCCTCTTGGGAAGATGCCTTTTTCCTTTCACTGTGAAGAATTTCCCTTTTGTTTTCAAACCTTTGGTGGGGGAAGATGTGAATTGAGGTGTTTTGGGTAGTTGGAAGCCTGATTGGCCATAGTTCATGTGGGTGGTGATTTTTGTAGTTCATGGGTTTTTTCTTATATTTTTGAATGTAGTTGTTTAAACAGTTTTTCTTTTCTTGAGTTGTTGATCACCTTTGTTATAAATTTTTATAGGAGAGTAATTGTTTATACTTGGAGATGCCAGATACATCCCTTTTTTTAAAAAGTGTAACTATGCTGCTTGTGTGATTTTCATTGTTATGAGGCTTAGGAGAAGTCAAGGTTCGATATTTGCATTGATCTGCAGATTATGGCATAAAAGATAAAACTTTTAATAGTCAAATGAGAAAGAATATTGGTTTGGTCTTGTTAGAGCATTTGTTAGTCTTGAAGGAGAAGTTTAGCATCTTCCGTTTGTGTTTGGGGAGGACCATGATTCCTGGAATCTAAAATAGTTCGTTCGCTTTTTGTGCAAAATAGCTGTTAAGTTTTTTGATATAGATGTGTAGTCTAAATATAGACGATAACTGCTTCTATAAAATGAGGATTCTTGTCCCTCTTGGCAACAGAAGTTGTGTTCTTAACAAACTAGCTTTTTGATGAACTTCTGTTGTATTCTGGATTTTTACTGATGTAGCTTTTTTCCTCCATTCCAAGTCGGTGCTCCTGAAGCTTTTGAGGTCTGTTAGTTATTCTTTTAAGACAGTTCTAACTTTTGTGATCAGCGGTAGCCCGGAGTTAAATAGAAAAACAATGGGTCTCCTTTCAGGCCGAGGTGTTGTTTGTGCATCTCGTCAAGTAGCACGTTTTCAGTGAGCACCTTTTTTATGGGGCTACGGGTTTGCACTCAGTAATCGGTTTAAGCAAGAATCTGATTAAAAAAAAAATTCAAGAATCTGAGTCTTTGTTGATTGGTTTACTTAGGGTCATTCAGGTTGTTTGTGTTCTTGGAGTTTTGAATTTTGAATAATCCTTTCCAGTGAAGCTCCCTATATAACATAGAACTAGGAAAGATATCGTGGAGGGCTAGTGTAGAGGTTTGAATCTGTTGAAGCAGGTGTGTTTGGTGAATTTCTTGCTGTGATGTTTGATGGTATTATTGGATGTGGTCTAAAATTGGTTTCTTCTATCGAATTTAATTGGTCCATCACTTTTGGCTTATTCCTAGTTTATATAGAACAAGCACAGATGACCAGCAACCAGCAAGGAAAAGGGATTGAGAGTGGGTGTGGTAGAGCATCTGCACTAAAACTTTTTAATCAGTTTCTTGTTATGATCTCTGGCTTTGGACTGAATATTTGTTTTTCGGATGTCACTTTGTTGGTCTCGTGGAAGTTACAAAGATTCTGTTATGATAGATTAGCTTTTGCTGATTGTTTGCCATTTTCTGTCTTCTGAAAGTTGAGTCAACCGACTCTGATGAAGTGTGGTTTGCAATTGACCTCTATAGGTTTTATGGATGAAATGTGGTTTGCCATTGACCTCTATGGGTTTTATGGATGTTTGAATATACACTATTTGTTATTGCCCTTTGTTTTTTCTTTTTTTTGGCAAAAACTAGCTTCGAAGATGATTTACATGCCTAGATTCTTACTTCTTCTTCTTCTTTTTATTATTATTATTTTTACTGTAGCGTATTATTTCGCCTTGAGTTCTGCATTGCTGATGTTATTGCTGAGGCTTCTTTCCTTCGATGCATTTGTCATTTACCCTTTCGTGCACTAGTCAATCTCAGAAGCCATGCTGTCTTTTATTTGAGAAATAGTGGCTACAGGGTTCTTTAAACCTTTTTGCAACTCCTTTTCTCTTAATGCTTTCACGTTCAAAGTATCCATTGGGCAGTCTCCCGCCCTTGAGCTTGGAACCTGTCATGTTGATTTAATCACTCTTGTGATTTATGAACCTATTTTTTCCCGATGATATCACTTCCTCTAAGAAATCTAGATTTATGGGACTGTATTCTATCAATTGACTAGAATTTGAATTTGGCAAGTGTTCCATTGAAGACAATGAAGTTATTATCTTTGTGCTTCTCTTTTGTTTTGCAAAACCAGCCAAACGGCACTTGAGTTTCTTGAAGTGAAAAAAGGTTAGAACCTTTAATTTAAGTGAACAGAGGTGCCCGACCTTTATAAAATATCCATGACGTTATTGGTTTTCTGTTCACCTGTTTCTCTATGTATCCAAATTGATGAATAACCAGGTCTCTTTTCTTCATGGTTGCAGATACCAGAGAGTTAGTCCCGACTGTCTCCATTTAAGCAACGGGAGAAAACCCAGCCTAAGAATATGCAAGGAAGATGACATAGAAGGTTCAAATGGTAATAATGGCAAGATCCAAACCTACAATCACAACCCACTTAATGGATTTCCAAGAATCAGAACGACACCATCCTCAACCAGCCAAGACCATAACTATGCCCCCTCTGTCTCTGAGACCCCTCAAACTGAGAATAACCACGACAACAACAACAATAATAACAATGTCGGCAAGACCCATGCACTTGAAAATAATATGGGGGGAGATATTATTTTGCAATGGGGCCAAAACAAGAGGTCTCGAGGTTTTAGATCAGAGAATAGAGTTTTAGGAGATGAGTCCTCAACTCAAGCGAGGCAAGCTGTGAAAATTCCGAGGAGGGTGGTGGGGCCCGAGAAGTTGCAGAGTCATGGAGCCCACCAGACTCAAGTGAATTCTTACTCGAGGAACACGAACCTTAGGCCATGCACCCCTGTTCGTGAGCCTCCTACTGGATCGATAATCTACAGGTATGATTTCTTTGTCATGGGTTTGTTTGTTTTATTGAATTGGTTTTGTTTGGATGAGTGGTTATTGTTTTCTTGTCAATTGCTTCTTTTTGTTTGTTAAATGTTGTTTTCTCCTGTAGAAGATGGATCTTTTTCTTTGTGGGATCTCATTGTTTGTTAAATTGTATTTTTGGGAACTTTTTAGGTTTTTTGATAGCTATGCTTAGGTTTTGATGGATATTCTTTTGGTTTTGTTATTGGGCAATGTGAATTTTGTTTTGGATAAATACTGAGGATTTAGGGAAATTGGAATGGCTGAAAAGTCATTTCTATTGTTTTTTAGCTTGGGCATTCACGAGGGTTCTTATTAATTTGGTTTTTTGTGCTTGATTTTTTTTATGAGCTTTCTGTTTTGGAAAAAGTTTATGTACGGTTGCAACCTTCAAATGCAAATGCGCCTCTAAAATCCATCCAAAAAATATTGTTTTAAGGTTGAAAAACCCTTTAATTGATCATCTTGATGTCGAGATTAATGAATATGAAAAAAAAAAGATTTTTAAGTTTCATGTATTTTACAACACATTATCTAGACTGTCCATTTTTAAGCTTTTTATATGTTTTTAGATCTACTTGATTTTAGTCATTTTTAGAGTTTAAAATTTTATAATTAGATATGAAAATAGATTTTCAGATAATCCTATGAATTTTTTACACCAAAATTATAATTTTTTTTTTTATTATCATTTCAATGAAAATATGTGGTCGTGTAGTAAGAAATAGAAGATGTAAGAAATATTTGAGGAAAAATGGAGAATAAGCAAGCGGGAGGTTTAGGAATACAATTTGCTGAAAATAGATATATATTATCATAACGCGCATGCACATTTATTGGATATTTTTATTCGAATTGGAATTCATTTCATGGATTATTGTTAGTTTATTGGACCAAGGGTGTTTTGGTAATTTCTGATCGTCCATGTGTATCTGTAAAGCGCGGGATATATATAGATGGGATAGGAACTATAAGTCTCGGTTTATGGCAAAGAGAGAGACAGTGGAAGAGAGAAAAGGAGAGTGAGAGTCATGGAAGATCCCAGGTACTCTTATAAGCCATCTGTAGTATATTGGGGCACCCATCCATAGCATATCCGGGCCTCCTTTGAGAGAGAGAGAGCGAGAGAGAGAGAGAGAGAGAGAGGAGAGGGAGAGGGAAAATCTCTGGTTATACTGCGTTTTGATCATGGGGTATCGTTATTTTCTGAATCATTTTGCCATGTATTTGTTTGGAAATTATTTCTTGCTCTCCTATTTTATTTTGTTTAGTTGATTGGTATTTTTTTTTTTTTGTTTGGAAACTAAAGGAGGTTGTGCGTATTTGGAGTCCAAAATGGGTATTTCGGGATGTTTCAGAAAGTACCTCTAGGGTTTTCTCTATTGCTAAAATGGACCGTGATGATTTTGTCATGGGGATCAGTGTTTAGGTAAACTTATTGGCTGGATTTATCTGGATCGTCCATCCCTCCTTGGTTCTGGGGCTCATTTTCCCTATGTTTTTATTTGCATTTCTATTTTCTACGTGGTTTTGTTTTTTATATTTTTTTGTCCCTTTCCTCTCTTTCGCTAAGAACTCTCCTCAGTTCTACATATCAGATTTGCTATAGTATGTGTATGTCGACTCTCTCTCTCTAGAAATTTCCTATGATAAATTCCCTTTATTTCAAAGAACAGTGTGTTTTCGTTTATATATTTGATTTCTCCTTTAGTTTCTCTGGCATAATTTCTCAATCCCCAGTTTTAATTGGGTCAATTCACTGTTTATCATCTGCTTTTAAATTCCAAACTGTGTGCTTAAATTTGTTTGGATGTGGTCTTAAAACCCAGCTATTTTTTGTGTTTATTCGAATTCCCTGGATTGTCTAACCTTTGAATGAAGGGCTCTGATATTGCCGATGGGAATCCCCATCGCATAACCTGGGCCATCCATCCTACCCAACGAGGAAGAAAAGCGAAAAGCTAGCGGGCCCTCCAACACTTGTTAGCTTCTCGTGGAGGTGGCCTTGTAGCAAAAAGCCTTTTATCTTCTTTTGTGCCAACGGTCCAGATCTGTTGCTTTCACATAAATAAAGAAATCTAGACCATCCAACGCTCCTGTTTATGTCTTCTACTGGCTCTCATCGTACCGTACCCTAGCTCTTACCTTTATTTACTGTTTTTGCTGTCCTTGAATTTTTGTATTTTTTTTTATTTTTTTTAATTTTCCAGTGATCGTTGATCGTCGTGTTTTGCGATCTTACTCTTCCTAGTTGCTTCTAGTTCTTGTATTTTTATCTTACTTTTGATTCTCTTTAAGTAATGAGAATTAGGGCAGCTTGATTGTAGGTTAGGTTTTTAAATATTATTTGTTATTGTGTGGTGGGTTCTCTTGTCTTGGTTTTAGAGAGATTCCTTTATTCTTTTTGCTGAGTTGTGAGTATTTTCTGACTACCTGACTAATATGAGCGGGGATCAACTCGGGGCGTGGGCTTTTGAACCCCACTTACCTAGACAGAGAAAAAGAGGGACGCTATATATATATAGATATATATATATATATACATATATACCGTTTCTATGGATCGTTGGGTTCTAACCGCAATTATTCTTCTCTCTAAACAGGAATTTAGAAGAACAGTCTGGTTCGGGCCACCCCAAGGGAATCAATGTTTTCCAATCTGGAACTAGTAATAACAGCGGTGGGCGATTTTTACAGAGGGTTGGAGACAACAACAAACGTTCTCCAGAAAAACCAGACAAAGCAGGAGTAGCTTCTTGCCCACCTCCTTCTACTACCATGAATAATAATAATAGTAATCATTACAATTCATCATCTCCAAAGAACAATAACAACAATGATCATCATCAAGAGATCACTGTAGCAGAGCATGAGCCCTGTGTGGCCTTTGAGAAATTAAATCTCGAGCTCTTTGAGTGGCCAAAAATCTACATCTCTCTGTCGAGGAAAGAGAAAGAGGATGATTTCCTTGCTATTAAGGGAACCAAGCTTCCACAGAGACCCAAGAAGAGGGCCAAGAATGTTGATAAGACCCTCCAGGTATAATCCATCTCTCTCTCTCTCTCTCTCTCTCTCTCTCTCTCCATTTTGCTCTGAATTTATGTGGGTTTTACTGTTAGCTAGTTAATTTTTTTACTCTAGATTTTGGAGAGGAAGGTGCAAGTGTTAGGATTGCCCTTTACAGGGGCAGATTGGAAGAGAAACACTTCGGATGTTTAGGGAGGGTAGAGAGAGAGAGAGATGAGTTGTGTTCGGATGATGGTCAGGCACATCGAGAAGAACCAGATTGGATATGTGAGTCGTCCATCGAAGTCTCTCTCTCTCTAGCGCGTACAAATACGAGTACAAATACCATCCGACCGCATGGACTCCACCTGTCGTGGATTAGGACGTGTTTGGATGGACGGACGGACGGACGGATGGCGAGTTTGCTGTCCATCCATTCGGATAGAACTTGTCCATGAGGCTGCTTGCCCCTTGAGAAACTCCAGCCGTTCATCCTCTTCCATTTGGCTGACGTGTCCTTGTGATGGGGTGCAGCGTTCGCATTTGGTCATAGGAACTTTGGGATTTTTTTCTCGTTTTATTTTTTTATTAAATTTTCACAATTTTTTTGTAGTGAATAATTTTTTTTCCTTTTCTAATTTGGCAGTACTGCTTTCCTGGGATGTGGCTTTCTGAGTTGGGCAGAGGTCGTTATGAAGTTAGAGAGAAGAAATGCGTGAAGAAGGTATTTTGTTTTTTGCTTCAATATTTTTTATTCTTTTTTATTTTAATAATTTAGTACCTTTTGATTATTTGGAAGTTTTTCCTTGTCAATTTAGGGTAGAAAAGAAAAATAATAAAAATATTTGAGAATGAATTAAGCAACAATTGGAGAGTAAATTATAAAGAACGGGTGAATGTGTATATTTAACTACTTTTATGGATTTGAAGAGGAAAGCGCTCCAAGAATTGGAAAGAGTAAATGATTAGAGATCATGTGTATTAATTGGTGTTTTTGATTTTAATTTGTTAAACTTATTTGACATTTGGCTTTGCAGAGAAGAAGAGGTTTGAAGGGGTTGGAAAGCATGGAAAGCGACTCTGAGTAAAAAAAACCACCGAAATGTTTGTTATTTGTGCGAGTCGGGCCCCGCCTTCTCTTCCTCTCTCTCTCTCTCTACAATTTTCAAAGGGGAATCTTTCATTGCCTCATGTACAAAATGCAGCTGATCAATATATCAGAAATATTTTCTCCTATCATCATTTCCTTGCAATTCTCTCTCTCTCTCTCTTCTCACTTGTTTGACATTATGCCTGGGGTTGACTGCGGAATATGCGCTTACAAGCTGAATGTTAGTTGATCATTTCAACGGCAATTTAGGACCTCGCCATTAACAGTATCTTAGCCAAATAAGAGAAGGAAAACTTGGATTAACTTTGTATTGAAAGTTCCATTACCCACCTTATAACGTGTAAGGTTGGTTGGAGAGGTGTAAAATCTCTCACGAAATAGCGAAGGATAAGGTTTCTGTGTGTCCCAACTCTTCCTTTTTCCAAAATCTATTTAGAGATGGATTTTGGATTCAAATATACAAGGTGCACCTCAAAAATCCATTCTTATTTAAGTTACTTTAAAGAAATGAAAATCGCAACTATGATGAATAAGAATTTCAAAGAGGAAGTTTAAAATAAAAACAAAATCTTTTCGATATCATTCTAAGACTTGGGGATTTCAGTTTTTTTTATTGTTGAGAAATATGGTTTTGATAATGGAAATTTTTGTAATAGCTTTAAAATATATTTTCATCTTTAGTTATAAAATTTAAAACTTCAAAAAAAGTGTAGATCGAGCATATCTATAAAAACTTGAAAATTGATAGTAAAAAAATGTCTTAGAAGATGTACTATTTTCAAAAGTTGAAATCTATTTTTTTTTCATGTCCATGCATCTTAGTGTCGAGATGATCAATTTGATGATATTTGGGCATCAAAACAACCTCTATTTTTGAAGGAGGCTCTAATTCGATTATTTAGAGCCTGCACTTTATATAAGCTTTTCCCATTTATAAAACAGGTTTAACTATAGTTAATTAAATGCATGGATAAATTTTAGGGAAAATTACAAAAAAAGAAAAAAAAAAAAAAAAATCAAAATATGGCTTTTCAAACCCCCAGCAATTTTTTTTAGCAAGTTTTACCCCAAATTGAACTTTTCTAATAGAAACCCCCAAGTCAAAAAAGTCGTATTTGTTTTACAAAAATGGCCATAGTGCCGCACTGCCTCCATTTTATGTCGGACCGCATGTCCAAAGTGTCGGATCTCATGCTTTCCAGAAGTCCAAAGTACTTAACCACCCCCATTTTATGCGAGACCGGATGCCCAAAGTGCTGGACCGCCCCCATTTTTTGCTAGACCGCATGCTTTTTAGTAGCAAAGTGCCGGATTGCCCTCATTTTGTGCCGGACTGTCCCTATTTTGTGCTCGCATGCTTTCCATAAGGTATTTTGGTTTTTCATTTTACTTTTTTTATGACTTAGGAGTATTGCTAGGAAAATAAAATTTGAGAAATTGAGAAAAAAAGTTTGGTCGGAGATAAGTTGTATAGGAAGTCTATTATTAAGTTTCTTCATGATTTAGTCTGGTTTTTAATTTTTGGATCCGGTTTGGGAACCAATCATTTGGTTCCGACCCGACCCGAACCGTTGCCCTCCCTTATTTGTGTTGCTTTCCTTTCACCGAATCGGCCGTTCTCTCTCTCTCTCTCTCCTCTCTCTCTCTCTCTCTCTCTCTCTCTCTCGTACTCGTCCGTACCGTACCGTCCGTACCGTCCGTACCGTCCGTACCGTCCGTACCGTACCGTACGTT